CAACTGGCAAGCAGTACGAGACGAAGGCGTCGGTGCCATCATACTACGACCTGACGGCCTACCACCCGCCTTCCTCGTCTTCGCCGATTTTCTCGTCATCACTGTCGCTCCGGGAAAACGTCAGGCCCTTGCCCCGTCACTTCCCCCAGAGGGGGTGCTGGTGGCGTTGGCGGCCCCCGGGGCGCGTTGAGGATGCTGCCCCCCACCTTGGTGGGCAGGAGGGCATCGCCATTTTCAGCATCATCCCCAACCTCGCTGGGAAGGGCTAGTCTGGGATCATTAAAGATCCCGAGTGTGGCGCCACGAACAGACACTAGAATCCCTGAAGACTCCACCAACGGGTCTTCGAACTCCAGCAACTTATGGCCAAGACAACCCCCCTGCCCCAGGCGGATGGCTAGTACGAAGGGCGCGAGCGCCCTACTGTTAAGAAGGGACGTGGTGCCTCCCACGCCAGGGCCAGTACGGCAGCCATGGGTGCGCAGCCACCAGCTGCGACTACCCCGATCACAACCGTTGTGTCTCCCACGGCCTCGGACTAGACTCACTCCCCAAGTGCCAACACTAATCTTCAGAATCATCGCTCCCAAGCTGAGGCCCGGGACCTGGCCTAAACCCTCCCACTCGGCATGGAGAGCAAGGAAGCAAGGAAGAAGAAAGAGGAGATGTGTGGACGGATGCCTCTGCTCCCCCTCATGCTCCCTTTTATAGGTGAGCTAGGGTCGGGGGCTGCTTCTCCACCCGCTCCCAAAGAGCTCCTTCAAATTCAACTCATCCAAGCCACTAGCAGCGACCGAGCTCATCGACTGCCCTCTTGCGCCAATCCGAGGCGATCGGGTTCCTACCGCAACGCTCCTTCCCGCGCCATCCGTCACCTACCCTGCAATGCATGTGACATACGTGGCAGAAAAAGGCGAGTGTAGTGGGAAGAGTGAAATGGCAGTTACCTCCACGTGAACAAAAGTCATTCATGGGCCACTACAGAGGCGGCCCCACCGTGTCTGGCGTCAAGAAACGCATGGGAAAACAGAAAACTGACTGAAGCACGGGTTAATGAAGAAGAAAGGAAAATATCAAGAAGAGAGCTATCGCAGGCCCTCTGCCTATGTACCTGATCGGGCCTGCCCCAACCATGCTCGGCAACATGTTCGGGCCAGGCCCGGGGGCTCCTGTTGGTGCAACAAACCTTTGCGTATGTTGCCTAGACTGTACACAGGCACAAGGGCAAAGTTACAACGACACCAAGCATCCAAGACAAAAACCAAGCCAGAGAGATAGCTCTTTGAGGGATCAAAGGGCGGATCAAGAAGACCAAGACAAGCCAAAGGAACAAGATATCACTAAGGAAAAACCTCCCTTATCGGGCAGGCGAGCCCGGCCAGGTCGAGGCCACATCAAGAACAAGTCACAAGATCTCTCCGCAGGCTTGCCGGGGCCTCCAAGGGCGGACCTCCCTGCCAAGACTCAACCGCTCCATCGCACAGCGATGCAAGTCACTTATCAGTGCGGTGTCGAGCCCCCAAGTGATTAAGTGGCTGTCATTTGACAGGTGGCAGCCATTTGGAAGGGAGTTTCCACCTGTGTGACACCCGTCCATAGGCGTGTCATGCAGACAGACAAGAAGGTGGTTAAGCGGCACGGCGGGCTTGTCGGGCTGCATCCTCACATGACACCTAGCAGTGCATTTAATGCACTTTGTCCTAACAGCCAGAGTTAGGTATGATAGCACTGTTGGCTATCTAATCAGTAGATAATGACTGATTTGCCACTATGGTAACTCCTTAGCCTATAAAAGGAGGGCCATGGCAACCTAAAATAGGATTCAGACCCACTCTTACGCGCGTAGCTACCCTCCCCGAGGCGACCCTGCCGGGCTTGAGTGTTGCGTGTTTGTCACGGTCCTCCATCCAATCCACCAAAGCAAGAGTAGGATTTTACGCTTCACAACGGCCCGAACATGGGTCTGCTCCATGGTCTCCGCTCTTTGCGCAATGTGCCCTTCCCCCTTGCCAAACCACAAGGGGCTGATGGCCCCATAGGTGATCGTGTTCTACCATGACACATAAGAACAACACAACACAATTAACAACACATCACATAAGAATAACAACTATTAAACAATGCATAATACCTAGGAACATAAGTTTAAGACTGTAGGGCCATCCCCCTGCACAACCCCATGGTGCTTATCTGTGGGCAAAATATATAGTTCACAGCAAAATTTTAGACGACCGAACCAACTTCAGATGATAGACTAACTAACTAGAGGGCATGCTCGATGTCACCCTGGAAGCAGTGCTTCTGGAACCTGACCCTGCACATGATCGAGTTGCAGGCGTTGTAGATCTGTACCTTGAAGCCGAACCCGGAGAGTCGCATGACAAGGATGTCTTCGGGGCGATCCTTTGATGGTGACAGAAGTATTGCCAGCCCCTCCCGAGGACTAGCTACTCATGAAAGTTTTGGACCTGCACCGAGAACTCACACCACTTGTTAGTTGAGAGCCTCATGACATAAGGAGGCTTGAGGACTAGCCATACTTCATCACCACCCTGAAGGTCGATAGGATGACAAGCATGGTGATATCTTCCTCGTCCTTGATCTGCACGTAGAACCTTAGCGGCTCCCATGCCCCCTCCTCGTGGCTGATCCTAGGCATGCATTCAATGCCCATCGGCTGGCTCATGGCGGCGATCCTGCTCGGCACATTACGCTCTTTAGCTAGTGGTTCATCGGGATGATGTCCTCGGCATCTTGGGCGCTAGCGACAACCTGCACCCCTCTACCGGTGGTGTCCCACTCCGTCTTCACGACCTTTGCCAGGTAAGTGGACGAGAGTAATAAAGAGAGCATGATCATTTGCAACTGCCACTGAGCATTGGCAGTTGCAAATGATCATAGTACTACCCAAGTGCAACTACCAATTATCAGCGGCAGTTGCAAATGATCAGTGCTATGATCTGATCAGTACTACCCAAGTGCAACTGCCAATGATCAGTGGCAGTTGCAAATGATCAGTGTTGTGATCAGAACCCCCTAAATGGATTCAAATGTGTCCTACTACTATTTGTAGCATGCACATGCATTGTCCTACTATGATCATGCAAGCACGTAGTATGATCATGCACACACCCTAACTACCAATCTACAAGAACAACACCAACATCATCAATCCACCATTGTCAATGAACTAAGGGCAACATCAATCTACCGTTGTCAATGAACCAAGAACGGCACCAACAACATCAATCTACCATTTTCATTACACCAAATACCACCTACAACATCAATCTAGCATGAACATCCTAAGCAGTAGCAATCTAGCATCAACACCTTAAGCAGTAGCAATCTAAAATTATGATGTAGCAAGACCAACACTAACAACACCAGTCTTGCAGTTGCCATCTAGCATTATTGTTATTCAACCGCAATCGATTGGATTTAAATCGAATCGAATCAGATCGTCTAACCTAGTCAGCACTAAGCAAAAATCCTAATTACAATCATGAGCACGGCAAAACAAATCACTTACCGGAGCGGTTGGCGGCGAAGGGTAAGCCGACCACGGAGCAACCCCTGGCAGGAACAGGGGTCCGGCCAACAAGGATAACCCGACAAATCTAAGGGTCGCCGCCGCTACTCCCTGCTTCTGGTGACACATAGAGAAAACCCTTGAACGGGAGTAATAAAACTTCCGACCATGGCTGTCGTTGGTGCAACCGACGAGCTTAACCCAAGACGATAAGTGCAAAACTGGAGTCGAAGCACGCGGTGGGCCTGCAGCCTCATGCATAATCAGGAGGACGCCCAAATTGCCGCCATGAGATCAATGCCTCTAGATGCAAGGTCAGCCACCGTGTTGCCAACAAGGTTGGGGGTGGGGGCGGCGCGGCTGCGGGTCTGCCATCAAAGAGACCAAAGGAGCAGTGAGTGAGAGCGGAGAGACTTTGGTGTGAATGGGCATGAGATGTGACTCGAGAAGGGGGCTTATGAGCCACCCAGTCAAAGTTGGTCATAGCAAGCCTGGCTCGTCAAAAGGGTCAATTCAGTCGTTCCCTACTGCTTTAAGTTCCAACACAAATACAGCCCAAGCAAACCAAACGTTCTGCACGAGCCGGATGAACCAGATTGACCAGGAACATGAGACCATTGATGACCAGCATGACATGAATACACGTCGCTTTGATCCACATCGATCGATGATCGCTTAATCCGAAGTCAACTAAGTAAATCAATTTTACTAAGCATCTCTCCTAACGCCTTGCTTGCATTGTATTCCCTCCGTTCCGAATAACTTGTCGCAGGTATGGATGTATCTAGAGGGAGTATAAGGTCTGACTATTTGGCTTGGATTCTCAAGAAGCTGAACCACATCAACCGATCACTGAAAATCCAAAAGCACTTATAGGAAATATAAAAGCACTTATAAGAAATCCAAAAGTACTGACTATTAGGGGCAGTTCTTTTGAGCGGCTTAAAAAATAAGCTGCCTCTCCCCAGCTTAAAAAATAAGCTGGCTCTTAATTTTTTTAAGATTTCTAAATTAGTTTTTCTATAATTAGTTTAGAAGCCCCAATGAATATGAAATGTGGCTTATGAGAAAAGCTAGGGTGACAGCCCTTGGTCGTTTTTCCAAAATCCCACTTCTCCAGTTTTACAGATAACAAACTTCTATTTTCCTGAGATTTGCTAGGCTAACCAAATAAGTCACCAATTTAAACACACTTATAGGAAACATTTCAAGTAAAAACTACATTCAGATGACAATCAAGATCGCATATAGATCTCTGATAACAGGCACAACGCAGAATCATAACAGAAAATGCAGTTCCATTGCTCCCATGATTTCTGTTCAAGATAAGACTAGTACGATTAAATACTTGTTGATATTCGCTTAGGCAAACACAAAATTGGTATCAGTGAAACAGATCTAATCCAAAGACAAGCAGGGGTCGGCAGGAAAGCCCGGTATCTTATCAACTTCACTGGAGCGCACACACTTAGAACACCCGTACACGCTTCCCCATGGTGCTCTTCACGTACAGGCACCTCACCTGGGGAACACAAATCATATAAAATCAGACTGTACGATGCAATGTCATGCAAGTTAAACAACCAGAAACATAAGACACATAGTTGAAAGGAGAATCCAGAGGATGACTCACATTCTGCCAATTCTTCTTCAGGAGGGACACAAGGAAGTTGACACTCATTTGGATGTTTTGTTGGATCTGCTTCTCGTCCATCGACAAGTTGCCCACAGCAACACCCATGCAAAGAACCTTCTTTAGCTGGAACTTGACTGTAGCTTTTGTCTCGTTGACCTTGGCTTCAAGAGATTCCTGGTGACTAACCAGAGTGGGAAACTTGCCTGCAGAGGCATCAGCATGATTGGATTAGAAAAGATATAATAGCTGCTGTTGCATGGTATTAATAGCACTAACACTAGCAGACAGCTCTCAGAGAGAACATAGCAATATGCGCTCTAGAGCAACAACATAAAATATCTAGGCAACGAAAATAGTCTAATTGCTTTTTCTGCACAATGCCAAAGGCTCACAATGCAAATAGCAACAAATGAAACCAATCAGAAGATGCAATGAGGCATATACAACCAGATTAAGACTTAATGTAAACAGTAATAGCATCAAACGAGATGGATAACTTGCCTGCCTTGTTAAGACCAGGGCCAAGGAGACGAGGGATCTGCTTGATTATGGCCTCTGATGCCAAGAAAGCATGGTACTTCTTGGCTAGCTTCTTAACAAGCTTCTTGTTCTTGTTCATCTTCTTGAGACTTTCAACATCCATGTAGTCAAGTCCCATTTTCTCAGCCTGTACACAATCCAAGACAGATTATAATATGAGAACACATGCTAGTACGGTAGTAGGCAGACTAAAAAATGATTCAATTCAATTTTCATGCCATATTATCATATGAGAAAGTATGGTAGTTCTTAGGTTAAAGAAATGTCACTAACGTAATTGATACATTCAAGGCACAATCACTGTCAAAACATAAGCATTTCAAAAGATGCCATAGTTGAGTTAATACAAAACTTGCACACATATATCAAGGAGAATCGTTACCTGGTCGACATGCTGGGCATCACCAAGCATGCACACCCTCATCTTTGGGCGGGGGATATGGGGCAGCTTCACTGAGCCGCTGAAACGTTTGTCCTTTTGTGGGTCGTAGTTTTTGAGACCGATCTGAAGCTCCACAGTCTCAGTGAACTTGCGCTTCTTTTCTCTCGCCTCCCCAACAATCTGGGTGATGGCATCCTTAACAGCGTCACTTTGGAGCTTACTGCAATGGGCACAGAGTCAAAATCTTGATGTTGTAAGAACAAACCTGGCAATTGAGTCAGGCAGTTCTAGAATGATGTAGCTTGAAGGAAGCAGAAAACATGGGCAACATTAGAATATACCACAAGTTTTTGCAAGTTAATCTTGTGAAGAACTACATTTAATCAATCTCTTTCGCACAACATCTTAAGCAATTTCGACTTGTAGATGACTACAATAAATCAATCTCTCTCACACAATATCTTAACCACTTAAGAAACAATTGAATCACTACGCGCGCATAAGATCTGAAGTCAAACCATAGAGCTAGTGAATCACTAGCTCGCATCTTTAACGTACAACTCTCTCTGGAACAGATATTTAACTTGACTCCATGAATATCCAACAGCACACTGACATGCAAATGACATATATCCGAAGTAATTTACAGTGTTCGATAACAAAACTGCAGAGAGCAAGGGGCAATTTTATGGCGCTGGACACAGTCGTGAAAACAAACTAGATGAGATGTGAATCGACGGAAGGAGGCTAGGAAGTACCTCATGGCTGCCGCCGATCAGTTGACGCCCTGCAGGAGCGAAAACACGAGAACATTGAGATTAAGAGGGATCTAGCGGGAAACTGAACAAATCAAGCGCGGGGGATCGGAAAGGGAAAGTATACGAATTGAGGGCAAGAGGTAGGATGTGGTGTACGCCGGAGAACTTACGGATTTTGGCGAGGCGGCGGCGGCGGTCCAGAGAGAGGGAGTAACGAAGAGGACGCGGACGGGCACGGAGGCTCCTCTTATATGTTCGGCGCCGCGAAGCGATGGCAGGGCACGCGAAAACCCTAGCGCCTCGGATGGATTGCACGCGCTCTGGGCCGTTTCGACTGTCTATACCTATGGGCCGGTCCGGAAACCGAGCTGGTATATGACAATTCTTTTCCGAATGGCCGAATCCTATTTGGCGCTTAAGGGCAACTTCAACGCGGATCATCAAATCACCTTTAAATGTCACTTTTGACCATTTGACGATATATTTGATGGTTCCCATAGGTACAATCTTAGGAAAGTCAAGCATAGGGAAGGTTTGAGGGAGTTTGAACACGTCGTGGACACGTCAACTTAGCTTTGGACCTCATCACACTCATTTTTCCTCTCCCTCCTTTCTCTCTTCTCTCTCCATTGGACAAGGAGCATACATTAGGTGAATATATAGCTGGATGTCGACGCCTGCTTGACTGTTCATGGAAATATTTGGTGATGCCCGTTTTGGCGAACCCTGTTGCAATTGCCCTCACACGCCAATTACAGGGCAGTAGGTGCAAGGAGCCCACTTCCTCCCTAGGTTGTCACTGGACTGTCGCCCATGTTATCTCCATCCAGTTTTCTAGGCTGTTTTTTTGTCTGGTTTTTTCTTTTTCGGGTTTGTGTTTTTTTCATTATTTTAAAGTTTATTTTTTCTCTTTCATCCATTTTATTTTGGAAAAATTCAAAATTTTCAAATCCATGAAATTTTTTAAGATCTTAACAAAAAAATAAACATTTTATCAAATTGGGAATTTTTTGAAATTAGCATATTGTTTTGAAATTCATGAATATTTTTTCTAGTTTGCAAATAATTTTAAAACTCATGTTTTTTTAATTTGTGAAATAGGTTTCTAGTTCAAGACCATTTTTTCAAAAAAAAATTATCTCATGTACTTTTTTATCTCTATAAATATGCGTTGGTGCATAGATGGGTTGGCCCAATTAGGCCATAGGTGATGTTTCCCTTCCGATCTTGGAAAGGTTTCATTCTGAATTATTTTTTCTGTGTTTGTTTATATTTCGGTTATTTATTTTATTTTTATTTTTCCTTTTTACTTGTTTTATTTATCCATTTCCATTTTATATTTCATAACTCTCGGGCATTTTATAAATTCATGGATATATTCTAAATTTATAGATATTTCTAAAAGTCGGAATATATCTTCAAATTTCTGAAGTTTTTTTTAAATTGGAAATAGTTTAAAAATCCATGTATATATTTTTAATTTAAGAGCACTCACAATTTTTCTTAAATCTGCTAACGTTTTTAACTATGTCATCATTTTTAAATTCACATGTATCTTTTAGTCTTCCTAAAAAAAGGTATCTTTTAGTTCACAAACACTTTTTGATTTCAAAAAATTCTATTTATTTGAAATTTAAGAACATTATGTAAATTCATGAGTATATTTTTAAAATTCGTAAGACATTTTAAAAAATGAAACATTTTCGAAAATTCAATTGTATTTTGAATCCGTAAACATTTTTGGGGGTTCATGAACATTTTTAAAATTCATAAACACCATTTCAAATTCTTTATCATTTCTGAGATTCAGGAACTAATGCGGAGCATCACAAGGCCATCCCCATGGACCCAACTACATCTCCTACGACACCTCTTGGACCCATGACACGAGCACGTGCAAGAGCTCTTGAAACCGAGGTGACATCTCTCCTCTCACATTTCCACTTTGATGCACATGAGACATGGCTACTATCTCATAGGGACACTTTGTGCATGCTCAGGTATCATGGAGAAGCTAAGAAGCAAGGAGAAGAGGAAGAGGAAGATGATGTGACGACGGAGAAGAAGAAGTAATGAAGAAGAAGCTACACGCTCCGGACGACCGGCCAGGACCGGACGTCTAACGACCCCCAGGCTCCGGACGGCCAACCCAGACCGGACGTCCGACACTTCCACACCCGAGCCAAAACGACGGACTTCCGACGCTTCACGGACGACCGACGCTCCTCGGACGTCCGACCGAAGACTACCCGAGACGAATCTACGAACGTCCGACAGGCACCGGACGTCCGGACCCTTGCGAGCCTCTGGACGACCGGTGACTCCCGGACGTCCGACACATGTGCACTGTTTCGTGTTGGTCGCAGCCCATGTACCCCTTCGCCCCCTCTTTTGCACTAAGACTATATATACTGCACCTCGTCCAACTTTCTAGGGTTAGCTTTGGTTTAGCTCATTTTGAGAGATAGAGCTACGCTCATCCACATCGGATCTACTCCTCGTGAGAGACTGCGGCCTCTTCGGAGAAGATCCCTTTGGATTCAAGACCCCTCTAAGGGAAGATCCCCTCGTGGATTCAAGACCTCCTCACGGAGAAGACCAGCTATCTTGTATCGTCCCTAGTTGATCGTGTACCGTGTGATCTCCTATGTACTCGAAGATCTAGCACATGTGTGATTTTCTTGTGTTGGTTTAGTGATTCTCCCGTGTTTCCCTTTGTCCTCCCCTCGTTTTCCCCTCGTGTTCTTCATGTTCATCGCGGGATCCGCTCCTTTCGTGAAAGATCGACCCCTAGGGTTCCTACCCTACATCATCTTGGTATCAGAGCCACATTGATCACGATTTCGGAGCCTCCCCGTTTGTGTTTCTAGCCTTGTTTTGTTGTTTTTCGTCCTAATTTGAAAATTCCCCACAAAAATAGCCCCAATTTTTTTCGTGATTTGTCAGTGTGTTGAGATTTTGTTGGTTTGGATCCGTAGATTTGCTTTGTTTTGAGTGGATCTAGCTTTCCCCACCCTTTCCATCCACAAGTATGTCTAGAGGGGGGTGATTAGACTACACATGCAATTCAATGTCACACCGTTGGGCCTCCTTCTGTATAATGTTTGTAGGATCGAAGATAGGTCTAGAGGGGGGGTGATTAGACTACTTGACCAAATAAAAATCTAGCATTTTCCCAATTTTAGTTCTTGGCAGATTTTAGCAACTTAGCACAAACAAGTAATCAACCTACACATGCAATTCTAAGAGTATAGCAGCGGAATGTAAAACAGTTGCATATGAGGGTAAAGGGAGGAGTTTGAGGGAGCAAACACAATATTGACACGGAGATTTTTGGCGTGGTTCTGATAGGTGGTGCTATCGTACATCCACGTTGATGGAGACTTCAACCCACGAGGGGTAACGGTTGCGTGAGTCCACGAAGGGCTCCACACACGAAGGGTCCACGAAGAAGCAACCTTGTCTATCCCACCATGGTCGTCGCCCACGAAGGACTTGCCTCACTAGTGTAGATCTTCACTAAGTAGGCGATCTCCTTGCCCTTACAAACTCCTTGGTTCAACTCCACAATCTTGTCGGAGGCTCCCAAGTAACACCTGGCCAATCTAGGAGACACCTCTTTCCAAGAAGTAACAAACGGTGTGTTGATGATTAACTCCTTGCTCTTATGCTTCAAATGATAGTCTCCCCAACACTCAACTCTCTCTCTCATAGGATTGGATTTGGTAGAAAGAAGATTTGAGTGGAAAGCAACTTGGGAGGGCTAGAGATCAAGACTTATGTGGTTGGAATGGAATATCTTGACCTCAACACAAGTGTAGGTGGTTCTCTCTCAAAAAATATGTATTGGAAGTGTAGGCATGTTCTGATGGCTCTCTCCAAGAATGAAGAGTGGGTGGAGGGGTATTTATAGCCTCCACACAAAATCTAACCGTTACACATAAATCACCAAACTCGGTGGGACCGAATCATGAAACTCGGTCAGACCGATTTAGTTCAAAATGTGAACGTTAGGATTCTCGGTGGGACCGACATGTCAACTCGGTGGGACCGATATCGTTAGGGTTAGGGCATAACGTAATCTCGGTGAGACCGATTACACAAACTCGATGAGACCGATTTTGGTAATGGACTAGCAGAGAGTTGGTCAGGCAAACTCGGTGGGATCAATTCGCTCATCTCGGTTGGACCGAAGTGTTACGAAAGGGAAATAGAGAGTTTACATTGCAATCTCGGTGGGACCGATCGCTCATCTTGGCTTGACCGAAATGTTACAAAGGGAAACAGAGAGATTACAATCCCATCTCGGTGAGACCGAGATCCCTATCAGTGAGACCGAAAAGATTAGGGTTTCTGGCAGTGGCTATGTTAACTGGACTCGGTGGCGCTAGATAGAAAGAACCGGTGGGGCCGAGTTTGACTTTTGGTGTGGGACATATGTGGATATGAGAAAGTAGTGGAGGGTTTTGGAGCATATCACTAAGCATTTTGAGCAAGCACCTCATTAAGCAACACCTCATCCCTTCTTAATAGTATTGGCTTTTCCTATAGACTCAATGTGATCTTGGATCACTAAAATAGAAAATGTAGAGTCTTGTTCTTTGAGCTTCAGCCAATCTTTTATCCTTCGCATTTTGAATGGTCCACTTTCTAATCCATGTCATGCCAACCATTGAGCTTTCCTGAAATATTCATCTTGGAATAGCATTAGCTCAATGAGCTATATGTTGTTAGGAATTACCAAAACCACCCAGGGATAGTTGCACTTTCAATCTCCCCCTTTTTGGTAATTGATGACAGCATATAGATTAAAGCTTCGATAAATGATAAATAAGATTTGAAAAACATCGTCGCTTTGAGAAGTATGTGATAAGCAAGAGCTCCCCCTAAATTTGTGCATTATTTAAAATCTGCTTTTGAATGCAAATGCACAATCGATTAGGATCATGAGTCACTCTTCCATGTCACATACATCTTGGTGGAGCGCTCAAAATGATAGAGATTA